CAAAGAATTTGGCTATTTATGCAAGGCCTTTAATGCCCAAGAGATATAGCAAAAAGAAAAGGACTAAATATGGCAACTAGCTTGGTAGGCATCCTCTTCCAGGATTGCAGATCCAAAGATCATCATCCAATTTACTAAGTTCACCCAGCAGATACCCATAGTTATCAATTATGGGGACTCCATATTTTACAGAAAAAATGACTTCTCTCCCATCTGGCATTGGGACCCACTTCCCCATCCACATATCTGCATCCCCTTCTTCTCCAATGTCCCAATTACTTGACAAAGAATCTGAGCTCATCTCACATCAACAGATTCCTGATTCTGAGATACCTCGGACGCTTCTTCTGTCGTTCCGAATGTGCCCGGAGAGAGATTATCATCGCTATTCAAAGGCAGAGTCTCCTGTTCTTCTTCTTCTGCTCTTCCTTTCGTTTTTTCGCTGACTCGAATTTCATGTTCTTGGAGCAGTAAGCGGCGGCGGGCGGCTGCCTCCTCGGAATTGAATGTGCCCAGCCATAGCCACCGCCAGTTAAACGGATTCTTTATCCTCGCGCACCACTTCCCATTCATAGATGTGAAATTTCGAATATTTTAAATGATACTCCGTAATTCCGTATTACTTCCTGAAACAGAACGTAATTCATGAAAAGGCTAAACCTAATTCAACCGGGAAGACAGTCAAATGATTTTTTGAAGATAACTGCGCAGTTAAACAACGCAGTACATTTTGGAAAATCATTTGACTGCCTTCCCGATTTAATTTTTAGCTGAAATTTGATATGGGTAAATTAGACTTAATGAAGAAGATGCTCAAAAAATTTCATCAAAAAATTCCACCGGGAACCGCCCCAATTGGCAACGGCCGAGCAGAACCTCCTATATAAGGGACTAATTGAACACTTTAAGTTAGTTCATGTACCTATTTGACCCTTTAAAAATTTCCAAAACTCAAAGTTCTTAATTATTTGAGAATGATGAAAAAATTGAGTTTATTCAAAAGAGAGCCTACACTTTACAATCGATTATATCATGGACATGGTACAACCAAATATTTATTCTTAAAAGATACAAGTATACCGTTTAACAAAATGAGTATTGTTAGCACAATTAGAGCCCGTTTGGTAACATTAAAATTGGCTGAATTGGCTGATTCTTTTGAAATTTATGAAATTCTGGCTGAAGTGGCTGTATTGGCTGATTCTGCTGATTCATGTAAAAATTATATTTAAAATATTTGTTATTAATAAATTAAATAAAAATTATATGAAAAATAGCTAAAATGATCATCTACAGTAACTTCAGCCAATACAGCCAGAAAAGTAACTCCAACCTTACTTTTTCTGCTTATAAAAAATTCAGCGCGCGAAATCAAAAGTTACGCGTTTGGTGAAAAAGCTGGCTGAAAAACCTGATAAGCCGAAAAAAGAGGTCATCTATCAAACGGGCTCTTAATTATTAATAGCATGCACATGAATATTAGATCTACACGTTAGATATATGCGACAAATTAACTTATTTATTTTACTATTTTATCATCGTATTATCATCAAAATATTTATTGTGTTAATTTTATAATTTAATACTAATACTCATCATTTCTTTTAAACCGTATACTCAATTCATTTCTTTTAACATAAAATACATGGTTGTACGGTATATTTTGCATATTCAAAATTGATACTTTATTTATCAATTTATTATCCAGGCATTTCCTCAAATTGGCAAAAAATTATTAATAACAAAAATTTGTGTATTCACCTTGTAGTTCGATGACATCGACGTGTCACACTTAAACAGGAGGTCGCAAGTTTGACACTAATATCAATTAATGATATCTATTTACAAACGGTACCTACTTTTATTATAAATCACTGTTCCAATAACCTTATAAATAAATACCTTTTAAGAAGTACAAACAAATGCAAACACCCCCTAAATAAAATGAGATAGAGGTTGTATGAAAAAATAGTTGAACTACTCCATCCTAGGGATGGACCGGGCCCAGGTCGGGCTTCGGACGAGACCGGCTTGGGAACTGGAGGCCCGGTACCGGATTGGGTCGTATATTTTTTTTAAAAAATTTGGTTTTTCTTATTTATTCTCACCCCCCACCCCCAAACCACCCAGCCCCACCCACCTAGCACCCAATCCATTCGAAAAAATAAATAAAAAAACATTTTGGGCCCAGAACGGCCGGGCTGGTCCATCAAATAGGCTACCCGTAGCCTGCCCCAACCCCCCTCCCCCATTCCGGTTCGGGCCCAAGTTCGGATCCCGGTCCCAGCCTACCGGTTCGGGCCGGTCCAGTACAGTGGCGGTCCTGGTCGATCAACCCGGGCCCAGTCCAAGCCTACTCCGTCCCCTGACCCTGCAATGTTGGTCTCCTCCTATGTATGAATCTGTCCTTGTACTGTAAAGGTGACTAATCTCAACCCATTCTCTGACTCTCCACGAAAGATAATTAGATAAACGGTGCTTTCGGTTTACTTTCCTATCTGCTCCTTTACCTTCTAGTGTCTCTTTACTTGATTTGGTCAATTGGTCAGACCTTAACAAACCTATCCCATACAATGAGACGATAATAGGAACAAGAATATACTACGTAATATAATAGTTAAGGAAACTCTTTCAAAAATATTACTCCGTACTAAAATAAGTTTATTCGCAAGGATATCTCTTTAGTTATCAAGAATGTTCAGGTCCGAACGTTCGGACGGGAACCTCCGTCCGAACACCGCCGTTTGGGGCGGTTTCCGGGGGAATCTTTTGATGAAATTTTTTGAGCATGTTCCTCATCAAGTCTAGTTTGTCCATACCAAATTTCAGCTCAAAATTCAATCGGGAAGGCATTCAAATCATTTTTTGAAGTTGACTGCATTTTTATATGTAGACGCAGTCAACTTCAAAAAATGATTTGAATGCCTTCACGATCGAATTTTGAGCTGAAATTTGGTATGGACAAACTAGACTTGATCAGGAACATGCTCAAAAAATTTCATCAAAAAATTCCACTGGGAAATGCCCCAAATGGCCATGTTCGGACGGCGTTCGGACCGGGGGCTGCTGGACAGGATCATTCCTCCTTTAGTTATTATGATTATTTTGTCATGATCATTTAAATGTAAAGGCTAAAAACAAACCTCAGTTTTAGTCATAGATTTGTAATTGTTTCATACTCCGTAATTAAGATTTTTTGAAATACTACCGAAATAAAACTCGTTTACAATATATATAAAAAAAAGTCACTATGAGTATTATGTGATAGTTATTTTAGTGTAAAAACTGAACATAAGTTATTGTGACTAAAATTACTACGACTACTATAAATCTATAATTACTACACTTAAAAGGTCACATATACTTCATTTTATTCATACATTTGTAATTATGTATAGAAAATATTAAAACGTAGATGCTAAATAGATTAAATTCACAAACAACTTCGAAACCATCACTTCCAGCCTAGCTGGTTGTGAGGTTATCCCTGCATAAGAGAGGTCTCGTGTTCGAGTCCCACTAGCACCAGTGCAACTATGCTCCCCCAAAAAACCCTTCAAGTGGTAGGGCCAAGCGGTGTATACTAACCCGTAGGGTCAAGCCAAAGTTGGGTTTCTGGGGTAAGGGGCCGTGAAAGCGGTGGAGCTAGTCACTATAAAAAGTTTACCCATACCTTAGTTTTAACCATCACTTCCAGCCTAGCTGGTTGTGAGGTTATCCTTGCATAGGAGAGGTCTCGTGTTCGAGTCCCAATAGCACCAGTGGAACTATGCTCCCCCAAAAAACCCTTCAAGTGGTAGGGCCAAGCGGTGTATACTAACCCGTAGGGCCAAACCAAAGTTGGGTTTCTGGGGTAAGGGGCCGTGAATGTGGTGGAGCTAGTCACTATAAAAAGTTTACCCATACCTTAGTTTTCAATTGGTAGCGAGGGAGTGCCACAAGGGTTAGGTCTCGGGTTCGAATCCCGGCAACTGCGATGAGGGGTTACTATGCTGAAAAATGCATAGGGCTTCTGCAAGTATCGGGGACAGAGCCCCACTCTCTCTTATCAGATTGTGATTATAGTCCAATTTACATCCTCCCATCGTGTCGTCCGGTCGGTGTTGGAGAGGCCAGGGATGGGGTGTCATCCTTTTTTTTTCCGCAAACAACTTCGAAATGAGACATGGTTAAAAGTCAACTCAACAAAAGGTAATTACTCTTCCCACGCTTAAGACAGACTACTTCTCTAAAGAATTTACTCCGTATTAAACCATGATCGATTGAAGTACTCGATCTTATTATTCCTTTCAATCAGAAGAATGATACATTCATACGAAGTACTACGTCTCTACGTCTCTTTTTAAATAAGTGCAACAAATTATATTTTACATTATTAATGGTTCTACTTTAATTACATTTTATTTAAACAATATATTTAAATAATACATCAAAATTCATAATTGTTTATGATCTTTCGTATGACACCAAAATTGCATACATAACGTGTTTTAAAAGTTCCAAAATTTCAACTGTTGCAGTTTTAGTTAAAAAACATGAAACACAATTTTTTAATATATGATGCCTCCACAAATTAATAATATAATTTTACATGAACTCATTTTACTTTTTATAAACCAAAAAAAAATTAAAAAAAGTAACCGAAACGTAAAAATTGATAATGTTTAGTAAAAAATACTTCCCCCGTCCCATTTTACATGTCCTACTTTCCTTTTCGGGTTGTCCCAAAATAAGTGTCTTCTTTCCATTTTTGAAAAGAAATATGTGGCCTACACCATTTCACTTTATTATACTCAAATCTCAACCACAACTTTTTACTTTTTCAACCACTTCATTAATAACCGTGTCAAGTCAAACTAAGACACATAAAATGGGATGGAGGTAGTAACTTTTTGTATACTAAAAATATGAAAATCAATTTAAAGCACTTTTCCATCTACTTCAACCTTTTAGCTTAAAGTGTTTAATTTAAACAAAAAAATGTTGTTTTAACACCCCAATTTCAGATTTTTTAAGTCAGAAGTTGAAAAACAATATTTTAAAATTTGTAAATACTCCCTAAAAAATATCAAATATATTGACAAAGAATTTTGCTATTTTTACAAGGCGTTTCATGCCCAAGAGATATAGCAAAAAGGAAAGGACTAAACATAGCAACTAGCAGCATCCTCTTCTTCAGGGTTGCAGATCCAAAGATCATCATCCAATTTCCTAAATTCACCAAGCAGATACCCATAGTTATCAATTATGGGGACTCCATATTTCACAGAATAAATGACTTCTCTCCCATCAGGCATTGGGACCCACTTCCCCATCCACATATCTGCATCCCCTTCTTCTCCAATTATGTCCCAATTACTTGACAAAGAATCTGAGCTCATCTGAACATCAACAGATTCCTGATTCTGAGATACCTCGGACGCTTCTTCTGCCGTTCCGAATGTGCCCGGAGAGACATTATCATCGATATTCAAAGGCAGAATCTTCCTCTTCTTCTTCTGCTCTTCCTTTCGTTTTTTGGCTGACTCGAATTTCATGTTCTTGGAGGCGAAAGCGGCGGCGGCCGCCTCCTCGGAATTGAATGTGCCCAGCCATATCCGCCGCCGGTTAAACGGATTCTTAATCCTCGCGCACCACTTCCCATTCTTCCTCTTGCAGACGCCAGGGCACGATTTTCTTGACAATTGACCCGTACCCGGATCCGAAACAAGGCTCGTCATGGACTCGGTCAATGGCGCTTGTTTAACAGGTGACGGCGAGGGATTCTCCGGCGCGGCCGTCCGGCGGATAAACCCTTCGAAAACAGAGCTTTTGGGCCGATTGGTTTGCGTTTCATGATCTGTTTCGTCGGAAGATGATTCGGTGGCGTCCGGGTCTAGGCCGGATACCAGAATTGTGACTCTCTTCAGATCCGCCGTCGTTCCGGTTGCCATGCTTTGCCGGAAAAACCTGGGTTTTCTTAGACAGAAAGAATTAGACAATATTTGTTTCAGGCAGAGGCGAATGTAGGAAAACCTGAATCATACTCTACCTTAAATAATGTTGCCTCCTTTTAGGGAAAACATCTTATAATCCGAAGAAATAAAGCATGTGTGATTTACCTACTTAGAATGGGCCTACGGATTATTTTGCCTTAGTCCAATCCAATCAAATCCCATTCATGGATTTGTCTACTCCGTATATAGTACTGAATTTAAATAGAAAAAGGAAACACATTTTTTTTTGGCAACAAAGGAAACACATTAATGACATCCTTAATTCGATCATAGATGTAAATATTTTAAATGATACCCCGTATTATTTTCTGGAAGAAAACGTGTAATTCTTAAAATTTCCAAAACCTATTTTTTTTAATTATTTGAGAATGATTAAAAATGATTTTATTCAAAATCAATACTTAAATCAAAATTGAGTTATTAATACAAATTTATTTATTCATCGTTCGATAGGTTCAGACCATCAGTATATCACCGGGTTTGATACTCATCCCAAATTCCCAATCAATGATGGAAAATCAAATGGAAAATTATTGAGAAATAAAAGAAGTGAAAAGTTGTAGTCTTAATTTAATGAAGCATTTAATAATTCCATAATTATTAACAATTAAAGGTTATGTGGAAATCTAATTATTAGTAGTTGTAAGCTATAATGTACTCCGTATGGAAATATCAGAAGTTAAACGATTGTTTTGGTATTTAAAATTATATTTAAAGTTGTAAAGTATGTGAGAGATAGTAAAAATAATATAAAAATAGTCATCATATTTATTTCTGAATATACAAATTATAAAATGATACTCCGCAGTAACTGTTATTATCGTTATTAGTCAATAAAAACAAGGACAAAAGATGTTATTTGCGAATTTTATATTCTCTTTGTCACATAATGTAAGAAACATTTGAGTTTGACTCGGTTTTAAGAAAATAAATGATAAATTAAAGTAGCACTTTTACAATTCTAACCTCCTAATAGTAAAAAAGGAGTTTGTTTAGGCTATGTTTGGTAGGCAAAAGTCTATGCCTTCTAGCTTTTCTTCCATTGAAAAAGTCTCTAAATCTTCTAGTTGTATGTTTGGCATGACAATATTTAAGAGCTTTTCAAAAAATAAAAGCTCTTTTTTGAGATGCTACAGGGAGTAGCATCTCAGAAAAGTTTGTGGCTTTTAGCATTAATTAATCAAAACAGCTTGTATACCAAACAGAACTAAATCAAATAGTCGGCTTTTTACCAAACAGCTACCACTTTTTCTTTTTAAAATCTTTTCAGTCACAAAAAGCTAACGGTTACTAAAAAGCTCACAAAAGTATTTTTTCAGCTAGTTGTGCCAAACATACCCTTAGACTATGTTTGGCAAGCCAGATAAGCTCAAAATAGGCTGAAATATTTTTAGTTCAGTCAAATATTTTGAGATTAGTCCTGTTTGGTAGAAGAGCTTAAGATGACTGGATCTGAAATATCAGGGCTGAATTGCTACGCTTCTCATCCTAGCGTTGATGTTCAGGCGATTCAACAATATACACCCGTTCCCAAATTATCCTCCCCTCCTGCCTTTTTTCTCCATTGATCAACTATCTCTGATTTATCTTCACGACCACACCAACACCCTACTCCTCCTTAACTCCCTTGATAACAAATATAGAGTACATGTCTTAACTCTTAAAGCAGTCAAGATCAGAATGGATCTCAGCGGCACAAATGGAGATGGCGGTTGCTACTCTTCAGAGTACTAAACTCTAGCGAGCTCAAGCGATGGCGTAGATTGGAACGACGAGCTTCTTCCTCACCCTCTCCATTGTTGCAATACCTTCTGGTGACGATGGCGGAGGAGACCAACGTACTACAAGTCTAAAAAAGGTAAGCTTATGAGCTTATCAATTTAAATTATCCCATCTTCTACCCAACATTTCCATTTATTGTTGCTTCTGGGGTGTCTTCCTTCTGCTGCGTTGCTTGGCTAACCATTTGAGAAAGGTGAAGGGTTCATTCAGAAGAGAAGCAAATGTGCCAGGGGAAAAATTCATATCCGGATTCATGTTTTAAATCGACAATAAATATATACTCCGTATATAATATTCCGTGTATATTTATTCTAAAATCTTAATATTTGTGGAGTATTAAAATACAAAAATCAATATAACAAATATTTTATTCTATCAATAAATATGTCCTTTAATGTAATTTCATATTTTCCGGACACTTTTCAGCTCTTTTTGCCCAACGGGTTTACTCAATTCAGTTAGTAATTCAGATTCAGCACTTTAAAGTTCAGTTCCAGACCATAGTCTCTGATTCAGACAACAGTCCCCAATACAGACATTAGCCTTCAGCTTCAGTCCGTTGTGCCAAACATAGCCTTAGTCTACAAGTAAACAGTGAAATGATTGATATATATATAAAATGAGAAAGTAAAAAACACTAGTGGAGCTGAATATATATTTAGGAAAGAGTTCATACTTTTTGCTAGCTAGGGCTGATACTTTGGAACCAAGAATCGGAGAACCGGACCGGACCGTTATTGTCACGCCCCGGACCGCGTCCGTGCCACGTAGACAACCGCCGTACAATCCAATAAGAACAACGTAGTTCATTCTTATTAAATCATACAAGGCGTCCGATAGATTCTATTGCCAAACCGATTAGTAAACACATACAATCAACATCAATATCATAATCAAACAATTGCGGAAATAGTATGTTTGATACTTAGCCACACGTGGCAAATACGGGCACGCAGACCCTTTAATAGTTTGACTGAAAACCTTGTTCAAATATCCATGAGCAATTACATTGTTTTAAATGAGAATGGAAGCACGAACCACGTCTTCCTTATTGATGATCACCCTGGGCAAAGGTGCAGGATTTGGTCTCAAGCCTTAACCTGAAAAATGTGAGGGCCCCCGAAGGGGTCAGTACTCCATAGAAGTACTAGTGACAAGCAGGCTATATGAGGAATAACTAATGTTTCAGACACGAGACCCGAAAATAGGGTGATACATATGCTTATAGGTGTAACCATTGTTACCCCATTCCCAAGATAATACATAGTGTATACACTTGTAAAATACTTGACCCGTAGGTCGTTTTATCACAAAGAGTCTTTTAGAGGTATGGCGATTACCCAACCTTTCCCATTCATTCCTGAATGACTAGCTCACGGCTACATTCTACCTTCATAATATCCTACCGAGTTTCAGGAGTGTTTACCCTCCCGGGGATGCTCAACCCCACCGAGTTTCTGGGATTGTTTACCGTCCCGAGGATACTCAACCTCACCGAGTTTCTGGGATTGTTTACCGTCCCGAGGATACTCAACCTCACCGAGTTTCTGGGATTGTTTACCGTCCCGAGGATACTCAACCTCACCGAGTTCTTGGGATTGTTTACCGTCCCGAGGATGCTCAACCTCACCGAGTTTCTGGGATTGTTTACCGTCCCGAGGATACTCAACCTCACCGAGTTTTGGGATCATTTACCGTCCCGAGGATACTCAACCTCATCCTTATTCCTAACCAAACCCTAACCTGGATATGGCTAACCTTGCATTCACTTAACTATGGACAATACCTAGTCCTATAGTCATATAATAATCCTTAGTAACCAACGTGGACGGGTCCCACCTGATCGGTCCACGTTAACCTACTCAAAAACTACCCGTTTTGAGTATAACCCAATACTCGATCGAGTACCCACCTATACTCGGTCGAGTACAGGAGGCAGCAGCCCGTAAGGCTGATTTTCCATGCATACTCGATCGAGTACCTATCCATACTCGATCGAGTATAGGAGACAGCAGCCCCTGGGGCAGATTTTCAACAAATACCCGGTCGGGTATTTGCCAATACCCGGTCGGGTATTGTAGTTGACTTGGCGGTCAACGCCCGTTCAACCGCCCAAACGGAGTCCGATTAACGTGAAATTTTACATGCATGTACTACTTGAAGTCCTTGATCCAAAAATGCTTGTTTTGGTCCTTGTAACATTATACATCTCAATTTATAACCATTTCACTAGCCAAACGTACATTTCATGCCTTTCAACCTTGTTATAGTTCTTAACATAACATAACACATGCTTTAATACCATTAATCAATTCATAAAACATATTCTTGATTAATTTAGGTAATCCCATGCCTAACGCAAGAGTTATAAAGCATATAGCCGTCTTCTCACCTTAATGAAGCTTATGAAGTCTAGCCTCCCCGATTTGGCCCCGGTGAAACTCCGGTGAACTTCAACAAACTCCGGCGACAACTCCGGCGATCCTTTCAACTCCGTGAAGGTTCTTGAAATACCTTATACAAGTTAACAACAAGGTTTTATCATCATAAAACCCATATTCATCCAAATAACCTCTAAAAGGTTATTTCCCGGCAAACCGTCAACTTTGCTCTCAAAGTCCGTTTTGGGTATAAATCAACCCTTCAACCCCCCATTCTACATTTTTACATGTGTAGAACTATCCTAGGAGTATGAAATATGATTAAGGAGAAGAAATGGGATTAATGAGGTCATTACCTTATTAATCACAAGTTTTCGCACCTAATCTCCTCTTTTCTCTTCTCTTTTCCCTTCTTCCTTTCTCCCTGGATTTTGGTGCGTGAATGGGTGGTAACAATGGAGTATTTTGAGACCTTATCTCTGTTCTTGGCTGGGTTGGGCGAGCACATGGGTTTGGGGTTGATTGAGAATGCCTTTTTGGCATTTCTCACCATAATAGCATGGGAGGGTCCCCTATTTCTCTTATTTGTTTGATCCCAATCAACTCATGCCTCCCTTCCCTCTTACTTGTGCGGCTCCCCTCTCCATTTGCAAGACTAAAACGTGGGGATGGCCCCCACTTGGATGGGTGGTCATCCCTTTGTGTCTCCGAGTGTACACTCGGTCCCGAAAGTTGTACTTTCCGGACTGTTTTAACTATGTTTCATTTTATCGGGTAAAATGAAATATCTATCATTCTTCCAATTATTATTGGATGTAAGAATGAGTGTACATCCCCCAACTTTTAATTTAGCGGTCTCCATAATTTATTATGGCTTTT